TCGTAGTAGAGTAGTAGTAGTAGTAGTAGTAGTAGTAATAGTAGTAGCAGCAGTAGTAGTAGTAGTAGTAGTAGTACTACTACTACTACTACTATTGCTACTACTACTACTACTACTACTACTACTACTAGTGTTAATTGATAGCATTGTACTAGCAGTAAGAATAAACACAAGGGTGAGGACCAGGAGTAACAGCAGCCGCAGTCGTAACCGTCCACGCACTCACGAATTCCGATGTCGATGTCGAACAAGTCGGACCTCGTCGTACCTCAAAGCCAAACCCCAATCCCCCAAAGTCCAACCCCTAAGCTTGCAAGCGTCAAGCGCGTGAAATCTTGATCTCTCGCTTGACCAAAAACTCCTGCAAGACAGCGTGCCTCCAACGGCGGGCCCTGTGGATCACTGAGCCGAGTTTGGAGCAAGGCCTGCAGAGCAAAGGGGGCTTGTTGGTGGAGTCAAAGTCCGCTTTTCGAAAATATGTGCTGGCATATTTGCTCGCCGAGAAGGCCACAAATTAGGAAAAGCCACAGCGCCAGCGGCACGCAACTTGGTTGCGAAACAAACTGCAAAGATAGCCGGAAGCAGCGAAGATCCCACTTGACAGCACACAACACACAGGCCCCCTGAACCTTCGCTCTCCAACTTCCCCTTCAACAAAACATCAGCATTGCTGGTCCTCCAAAACAGGCCGTAGCTGTGGCATGGCCTCAGTTAGGATTGGTCTTAGGGCTTTGGATCAAAAGTGATCAAAATTCCGGGTTCTGGGCAAGGCGAGTCGCAGGCTTCGGAACCGGGGTGGCCACTGTTTTGCGCACGTCGCTGCGGCTTCCTAGGATAACAGGGCTGTTCTGCTTTGCAGAACAGCCCTCCCCCAGCCTTTGTCCCAACGTCTCTGCTGGATTTTGAGATATCAGGGCCAAGACAGGAAGTTGAGGAAACATTTTCTTCCTTCCGAGTTGCCCCAAACCTGATAGCACCCTCACGCTGGAAGCAGCGCGAAAGGTTCCGGTTCGGAACAGTTCACTGGCCCTGGCCTTCCATCGTCGCATGGCTGCCCCAATCTAGAACAAACCTCAAACGCACAAGCTTCGAACAACTGGTGTATTTTGCGCCCTAAACCCTCAACCCTAAACCCTAAACCCTACACCCTAAACCCTCAACCCTAAACCCTACACCGTGCCCAATGCTGCAAAATCTCAAGCTGCAGCCTTCCACAGCACTGAAGCTCTAGAGTCGTTTTGCACATGCGCAACTACCCAGAGAGCCCAATACCCCTTCATTAAGGAATATACCTGAAATCATAAGATTAAGGCCCCTATAATTTAAGGTATATTGCTTAACTAAGGAATATACCTTAAATCATAAGATTAAGGCCCCTATAGTTTAAGGTATATTGCTTAACTAAGGAGTCTTGGAATCTCTGGGTACAAGCAAAGCTTCTTCGCTCTTTTTGTCCACAGACCGACAGTCTTGAAAACCGGTGCAAAAGCTGCTCCACAATGAACAGCTTTTATGTGGGGGCCTTCATAATTCCAGGGTTCGGAAGGTCCAGAACTAAAACGGTTTAGGGTCTAGGGTTTAAGGTTCAGGGTTTTAGGGTTTAGGCTTTATGGTTTAGGGTTTAAGGTTTAGGGTTTAAGGTGTAGGGTTTAATTTATAACCGGGCTGTCTGCTTTGCAGAGCCCTTCAACCCTGTACATCCCAACTTCTCCGCTGGGTCTGTGTGGCCACCCTGCGCCGAAAGCACAAAAGGAACATACGGTGCTGAGTGCTGGGATCTCCAGCGACGTGGGACCAGCCGAGCAGCTACATCCCAACCTCTCTGCTGGATCTTTGAGGCCACCCGGCGCCGAAGAGCATGTAGTGTTGGAACATGGCAAGAACGACAGCGAGAACGCAGAAGCCCAGGAAAGCTGGGTGCTGGGTCAACATAAAGCTCTCCAGCGATGAGTAGAAGAAAGATGCCTCAAGCCTTGTAAAGGGTTTAGGGCTTAGGGTTTAGGGTTTAGGGTTGGCCTTGTATGGGCGTGAGTTTCAGTCAGGCTTGTGACGGAGTAACGGAGCCAGGTATGCTGATGGCAAGCTTGCTATTCAGCCTTTTGTTGTGTGGGGCGTGTATGCCTATTGTCCATGTGCTTGTGTGCGTGCGCATGCTCGAGGATCTCGTCTGTATGCATGTGAAGTAATTAAGTGATGAACGAGGAGTTCCCAAGCCTAGTCTGTCTTTCCCTTTAGGAAGTTGCAACCTTAAGGACGACATGACCCCTGAAACGGCTTAGGGTTCATATACCATATAGGGTTTCATAGTATAAGGGTACAGGGCCCCTGCTTTTAAGGGTCATTCCGTCCTTAAGGAAACGGCCGAACTGCAGACGCGTACCAGCAAGTTTGTCGGCGCTGTGTGCAGAAGTTCACGAGCCAGGTGGCTAAGTAGGAAGGCGGAAGGGAACCTCTGTCATATGCCGAACAAGTGGCTTCAACCGTGCCCCCAAAGTTATACAGTTCTCAACAATCGACATGAGCCAGACTGCTCCAGCGTCTGTCTCTGTCGCTGTCTCTCTCTCTCTCTCTCACTTCTCTCGCACTTACTCTCTCTCTCTCTCTCTCTCTGTCTCTCTCTCTTTCATATGGAGAACCTGATCGGGAACACTGAGTCAAGCTGCCAGAAGTTTCGGAAAAAGGTGCCTAACTAGCTACATGGCCCGAACAACAGAACAGAGTAGGATTTCGCCCTTGACTTTCAATAGCTCTAACACCCTGGATCCAAGAAGCTGCGATAAGCTGAACAGCAGCAATCCGCCGCCGAAGGCCACGGCTGTCTGCAAACGGCCACGGTCGAGGCTCTTGTCGAGGCATTTGACACACCAGAGCAGACACGGATACACTGCCTGAGGTACGGACCAAAGAGCAAGGACTAGCTATGCACGAAAGAGCAATCATCATCCTACTTACTTCGCCAATAAGCCAAGGAAATACAAGGTTAAACTTTCAGATTACTACTAAGCTATAAGAACCCAAAAAGTTTAAAGGTTGGGTATTGGGGAACTAAGCCTATATCATACTTATCCTCGTTCTTAGTCTCAGCATCATCATCTTCACCACCACCACCACCATCATCATCATCATGATCATCATCATCATATTTGGGAGTTTCCGAAAATTAGGGTACCCTGTTTTGGGGTCCTTATAATAATGATCCTACTATTTAGGGTACTATATTAGGGTCTCCTATTTTCTGAAACCCCCATTTATCAAACTGCTGGCAGGATGGACAGGTAGTCTGTGGCTCGGCAGATGTAACACACAGAGTACTTCTCACGTGCCCAGATGCAGGGCACACCAGCATGAAGAACAGGAACTCAAGCACCATCACGGCCCCATATTCGAAGACAGAACTATAGCCGAGCGCATGAAGTGCAGGCATGCCGAGCCAAGCAAAGGGAGTAAAGGACAAGGTCCAAGGGAACATTGCCAGCACACAGACCTCATCTCTTCGACGAGCATAACGAAAAAATCAAGCTGGTGTGCTCAACAACAGGTGCAACAGGTGCAAAACGATCCTGAGGAATCAGTTGCAAGACACAGCATAAGGAATATGTGTCACGTCCCCAAGATCTTCGACAACTGCATCGCGCATTGGGCCTCGCACATACTTGTTGAACTCTTCCAGGCAATCGTCATGTTTCGCAAGGCCCGTCACAGCGCGCAAAGCAAGACGAGCTGAGAATGTCAACGACGAGCCGATGAGCTCCTCGAGGCCAGAAGACTTCTGGTTTTGAGGCGGTGGAAACCCCCAGAAGCAAACCGTCCATGCTTCAAATTCCGTGAAACGGTTGATGGACAAAATCCTGCATGACCTTATATACCTAAACTATGGGGTTTATGGTACTATACTATACTTGGGTCATGCAGGATTTTTTGTCCATCAACAGAAGCAATGGGCCACGATGCTTCCCGGCTCGGAAACGAATAAGCAAGCCTGCAGAATGCCCCCGACAGCCAACATCACCCCACCACAAACTCGACACTCTAGACTTTGGAAGAACGACCTCTTGAAAGACTTGCTCCCTTGGGCGGATCGTGCTAGATCTCTTGATACAAGTCAGTCGGATCTCTCCGCAACGACTCCCACCCTCTGGGGTTTAAAGAGTTAAGAGTCTAGGGCTTCTTAAAGGCTTGAGGAAGACTTGTTATGACAACTCTTGGAAGACTGGCCTAAACCCTAAACCAAAAGCCCCTAAACCCTAGGCCCTATAGTAAACACCCCAAACAAGGAAACGGAATTAAGGACAATTGGTGCTGGGATTCCCTATACATTACTCTTAGGGGCTGGGGCTGCTAGGTTTCCAACTTTTGGGCTTCTAGTGTAAACCGTACCCTAAACCCAAACCCCTACACCCTAAACCCTAATTAGCTTCGGGAGCACTACTATAAGGGCTCCTTTAAGGGGTTCCTTCCTAAACCCTAAACCCTAA